TGTACCTTGGGTAGACCTCTCTCAGATTTGTTCATTTCATGATATCTTCAATTCTCTAATTTTGGTGAATATTTTTGTCATTTTTGGTAAAAAGTGATATTTTCAACTTGTTAAAAACCGCAAGTCCAATTGCTTTGATATTACATACATAGGTACTATATGTGGACCTCTCTCAGATTTCTTCATTTTGTAATATCTTTAATTTTCTAATTTTGGTGAATATTTTTGGTAAAAAGTGATATATTTGACTTCTTGTTAAAAACCTCAAGTCCAATTGCTTTGATGTAACATATATAGGTACTACATGTGGACCTCTCTCAGATTTGTTCATTTTCTAATGATATCTTCTGTTCTTTAATTGCCATGTGCATTGCTAACAGCGGAGATATCTCAGCCGACAGGGTGTTTGTTTATGGTATCCATGCTATTGTCTGATTATAATCACATTTTGATTTTTGACAGTATATATACTTTGTCATACTGCATTGAAAATTGGCAGATGATGAATGGAGATTGACTACCAGTAAAACTGACTGCATTATCAAAAAAAAGATGAACCCAAACTAGATCTATTGCTATTTTCTTCCCACCACTTACCATGAGATGATCTCTAGTGTAGCCAAAGGATTTGATCATTGTCTGCATTGACACTCCCATGGGGCACTGTACTAGAGTGATTATTGATTTTAAAATTCAATAGATGACAACTGAGTTTAATTTTAGTGGATTTAAAATTGCAGGGATTTTAACTAGGTTTTATATTCACTAGCTTGTGATAGAAACTACACTTTCTGTATTACATAATAGTTTATAGAGCATTATTGTTTTAGGGTTACATGTATTTGCAAGTTCAGATCTTGGCTCGCCCAATCACATTGATGGTTCCAAGGACATAAGCTAGCTTGTTTGTGGTTCACATTGTAAGTTGTGTATAGTATGCATGTCATTGTGTGTGTAGACATGTGTATGTAATGTTAAGTCTGCCCAACTGTAGCTATAACTATAGACCTTTGTAAGGTACTGTAAAATACTTTATTTTAGCTGGAATTAATTTTCACTGAAAAGACTTTGGGTGTTTTGTATGGAATTAATTTTCACTGATTTTTGACAAGTTGGATGTAAAATATAGGAAAAAATGTATATTCGCCGGATTTCACTGAATCATTCCTTCAGCAAAAATTAATTCCAAGCGAAAATAAAGTATTTTACAGTGTATGCTATAACTCCAGTCTCCTTAACTGCATCTGCATACTCAATATATATATTGTAGAAAGACATACCACACCAGGACAACACCACAGTATGGGATAGGAGACAGTCCCTCTATCAGATAGAGGGACTGTGGATTATCAGATAGAGGGACTGTGGATAGGAGTTATCCGGTATTGTGTGTACAGGGGATGGTGAATCCTTAGGGAAGTTGTGGTGTGGATTCTCATGCCTGACTGACTGTATTGTCGCTGGACAGGAAGTCAAAACAATGTATGAATAGAAGTGAATTATCCACCATTGAATTGGGTCATGTGACCACTGTATTGTGAATAATAAGTGCAAGAAAATCCATCCGTTTGACGGCAGTATATGTTGCCTCATTTCCAAGACGCTTAGCAGATCACCACTCGTTATAAAATAAAAATTTACGGTCGGAAACATTTGGATTCAATTTTCTCGGGAATCCTTTTTCAACTTTAGGTGATCACGTGATATGAGTAGAAATGTAATATGGTTTGAAAAATATCCATATCCTGCAGACTGAAAAAAAAACTAAATATCCATTTTCGGATGTTTGAAATTTAAAACTGGAAAAAAAATTTGTGTTTGTTTACGTAGCACGGTTACTCTGTGTGATGCTAGAAATAGTGCTACATTGAAGTTTCGTTATCTATGATTTATGGTTTTATCAAATGTGGGTACTAGGCACCCACTGAGAGGCTGTGAACAGTCCCGACATGCAATGTATATCCAGTGACCCAATGTGAATGTCAGATTTTATGCCGGGAAATGCAGTGAAAATAAAGAAATTATAAATAACACGTTTTTTGAAACAGATTATTTTTTTTCAAAAACATTCAAATTGGCTGGTAGCAATGTGGAAATCGATTTTCTGCATTATCCACCGTGAAAACGTAGAATATAAGAAGACCAGTACAAACCAGTGCCTTACTAAAATAATGTACACATTCATGAACACCTACTTGGTTGTATTACCATGACAACAGGGCAAATATCCATGTTTAGTGTAAACATTGAAACTATAACAAAGTAGCCATACAATAATGTACTTAGCTTATCACGTGGCATACAACATTAATAAATGTGCTTAAAGTTGTCACGTGACTACGGGAGTCTTATTACATCGACAGACAGCCACTGCAAATTGTAGTCGATATGTACTCAATCACGTCGGAAAGTGTTCGTTTTGTGCCCCATCTTGGTTACTTCCTTATAATTATTAGTATTATTATTTATTAATAATACATTTTCAATATAAATGTGAAATTGTATCTCCGCCAAACCACAGTCACTCTACTAGTAGAGTGACTGTGGCCAAACTGAGAAGGTGCTTCGAGGTGGTACGTGATTATGGTGGTCAGTATTTATTTACTGTATACATTCAATTTGCACTCCAAGTCACGTGACATTTGTTGTCATTGCAAACTGTATAGCAAGGCGGAGACTTATCAATTGAGTGTTTGATCTTCACATGCAAATACATCCGGTCGCTAACAATACAGGTCCAGGGGTCAGAACATTCCATTTACATGACCGGGGTGTATGGTATCAGTGGCGTCAGGGTGATACTATTGTCGAATCCGTGTAGTAAACGATTAAGTTGCTTGGCTTTGCTCCAATCAAGCTAGCATTTGAGTGGGTATTTGCGGTTCAAATATATGACCTTTATCACTATAATGATCAACACTGAAGAGAAATATTGCATGTAATAGTGTATGCATCTATTTGTCGTTTTACTGGGTACTTAGTGCCATTTCCACTGAAAGTTTTTTCTCTGTAAATGTGGAACAATCATGGCCTATACCACAGTCCCTTAAGAGGGACTGTGCCTATACCAAATATTAGTGTGTATGTGTTTACTTACGTGCAACTTACATTGTGATATAGGTACGCGTTTGTAAAACAGTATATCGTGAGTTGAATAGTTTACAATCCAAAATGGCTGACTGGTCGACAATTCCGCGGAAAACAAATAATACTATCTTTATTATACACAATGTAAATAATTCCGTGTTATATTCTATAGTGAATATTGTTTTGGTGTTTCAAATATACTATGTTCATTGCATACGCGAGAATAGGTGGAATCTAAATACTGAAAAGCAGTCAACCAGTCCTAGAAAAAAGATTTTGTGAGTCTCAACTCACTGAAACAAGCAACAGGTTCGTCGGCACTTGCAAACCTAAACAAAATAATTTCACATTTTTTATCTGTCGACAGTCTAGCGAACAGACTAACAAACAAAAACGTTTTGTTCGATCGCTGTGCATACTTTGCCAAGCTGTAGACATTATGCAATATGGGGTAGTTTGGTTTTAAATGGCGATGACGGAATCTCCATATAATTTA